AGCTTCTGGTCAGACAAATACTAGACTGATGAAAACAGAGCGTTTGTCCTCTGTAGCTGAGACAAAGAAAGGAAGAGAGATACCTGGAGAGGAAGTAGAAAGGTAAAGTCTGACTGCTGTAACTGTGATGGAAAAAAAGAGACTGCACAACACACAGCAGGAGGATTGTTGATATAGCTATAGGTTGTAAATGGAGGTTACACAAGAAATATTTTCTTTGTAAATGTCCAGCACCTTCAGAGGAAGGGAAAGGATCAGGAAACTTTCAGCTTAATAGGAACAAGCTACTGTCTCATTGTGCCAAGTTATTTTGTGTGTGTTTGTGTGTGGTCAACAGATAAACACGATGACGGTTCTACTTGTCACTGCCATCACGATTGATGACCTTGCTATGTTTCTTTCAGTGTATTTAGGTGTGTGTTTGTGTGTACAGTGCCAGCACCCACTCAAGCTCCAACAGAGGCACCCACCACAGAACCCCCTCCCACCATCCCACCTGCTAAAGAAGGTGAGCGTGACAAATAACAAATGCACACACTGTCATTCTTTTCTAGTGTGGTGAGTAATCTTTACAGTACTTTGATTGCTTTTTATTAGAGATGCACCAATTGCAGTTTTCTTGGCTTATTCTGATTTTCTAAGAACTGTAATTTACAGCATACACAAATATTTTTGTAACATTTCTTAAATGAAAAATTAAATTGTAATAAAAAAAGACAAATATTGTATTAGGCTAAATAGGTTTTACATTTTCTGTCTTTTCTCTCACTCAAACAAATTTCAAAACTGCTCCAGCGTAGGACAAACTCAAATTATTTATGTATATATATATATTTATTTTTACAAACCTTCACTTAAAAATTAAGTGCATTATTTATACATTATTCTCCAAATATAAACAGGTGCAATGGGTAATAGACACAGAAGGACATCTGTTGTTACCTGTAGTTCTTTTCAAGTGCCTGTAGTTTGTATTGGATGTGTTTTACCACAGGCTGGGTACATTGTAAATATGCAGTACCTGCAGTTCAAGTGTAGCCAGTAATTCCCTCAATGTGTCCTATTTGTCAGGGGTTTGGACTTTAGTTTTCCCTGCTCCAAGGTGTTTCTGTGGGCTCTTGTGTGCATCTTTTGCTCGCCAAGTGAGCGCACTTAACACCACAGCTTAAAATGGTAAACAACCCTGCAGACAAACCTGTAAACCATTGCATTTAATATGTGCCAGCTGTCATGTACTGTGCGATTCATAAATGGAACCAGTAAGGTAATATTTTTGAGCCTGGGTGTTTTATTTTGAACCCACCTTGTTTGTTTTCACTTTATGTTTGTTAACAGCACTCGCAGTCAGAGCCATCTTATGTTTGCTGGCTGTGTGCAAAGATCCAGATCAGTGGAATGTTTAATCCCTATGCTTCATTGCAGTCACTATTTAACTCCAAAACACCAGATCACCCAGAACTACAACTGTTACAAATGTTCATTAAAGTGCATACAAACTAAAATATTATCAGAACCACAAACTTTGATAATTTCTTAAAGCTGAAGGATGACCCTTTACGATATTTTAAATCTTGATTACATGCAACAGTAAATGAGTCATGGTAAGGCAACGATTTAAGGTGTATTCTTACTGTAGTGGATTTTCAAAAACAGCCTGACAAACCTGTAAAGATTAGACACAAAGGGGTAAAGTCCACAGTGCGACTCAGGCCATCCTCCCTTTCTGGTTCCATCTCATGGATGCTGGTTAAAGGTTGACCTGCAGCAAATACTCTTCAAAAATGAGCCTACACACCTGCTGAGGCCGTCTTTAAGCATTTCTTTTGAAATTCCTGACCTTTGTCAGTCCACCACCTGTGTCTGTGATGACAGGCAACCTTTACTTAGGACAAAACCTCAAAGGTAGAGAAAAGAGGTGCAGTAAAAAGAGCGAGAGGAAGAGAATAAAACAGTGATAGGCAGGATGAGGAAAGCAGGCAGCGATAAGGGGGACAGACGCAGCGGTAGCAGGAACAAGTGGGGAAAAAAGGCAGGCAGTAAAAAAAGCAGAGAAAGTGGTGTGTTCAAGACGGATCATAACACAGACAGAGAGAATAAAGTCTCAGTAATATCATCACAGCTTTTATAAGAATCAGCCACAGAAATCCCTTTAATCAAAGCATCCTTCAGTTGACCTTTAATTTGACATTTCTCACTAACACCGGCTTCACCTAAAGTTCTGTAATAATGTACGATAAAACCATTTGTCTCTTAAGAAGAACAATACCAGTAGAATAGGTTTTTGTTTTAATCCACCTAATTTTATTATGTTTCCTCTTCTCTTCTACTTTGTTTAATTTAGAATTAAAGTCATTTTCACTCATACAAAGTTCAGATAGAGTTCACATTGTTCCTAACTCTATGGAGCCTGGCCTGGACATGAATGGGGTTTGAAATCTTGTTTTCAAACTGAAGTTTGAAAACTTGTGGAACCCATAAAGCAACTTTACAGCAGGAAAGATAAGTGTACTGGGAGTCATTTAGAAACCTTAGAAGGACAAAAACAAAGAAAAATCACTGTTGGGCCAGGAGCTTGAATAACTTCTTTGCTGACCTTCAATCTTTATGAAATGACTTTTTAAATGTAGAAACAAAATGATTTCTCTTTGCTGTATTTGCATCTGTTTGTCTATGTAGTGTGTAAGGAGGCCAAGGCTGACCTGGTGTTCCTAGTGGATGGCTCTTGGTCCATCGGAGATGACAACTTCATGAAGATCACACGTTTCCTCTACAGCACCATGGGATCACTGGATCTGATTGGCCCAGATGGCACCCAGGTCAGTCATGTCACCACACCAACACCTATGTCTTTTTACTTCAGAGTGAGTATCTGAGCCCAAGAACTCAAGAAGGAAACCATAATAAATAAGCCCCAGATGGATTTAATGCCAGCATTGTACCAGACCACTGTGGTGAAGAGGGAGCTGAGCCAGAAGGCAAAGCTTCACTGTTTTCTGTATCATTTGATCTACATTGCAGTCTTCACCTATGGTCATTTGTCTTTGTAGCAACAACATTAAAACAGCCATTAAGATCAGACATATGTCAATAATGCCCAAGGAAGTTGTATACACTGCCTGGACACATTATAGTTAAGTCTGTACAATTATATGCAATTCAGTGCAACAATTCCACCTTAACATCTGTGTTTAGGAAGCTCAAAACATTTCAATTTTTGGTGGGATTGTCATAAATGTATAAATTTAATTACATGTTTATTATTGAGGTCATACTTAAAGGTGGTGTTGTACTGAACAACATATTTATAAGTGTCTCTATATTTTTGTCCTCCCAGCTACATACATGAGAGGGTCAGAATATTATTTCACTCAAAACTGAAATATTTTGAGCTTCATAAACACAGATATTAAGGCAAAAGTGTTGCATTGAATTTAATACAAATGTACAGGTGCAACTATTAATGTGGCTGGGCAGAGTACAAGATTTTGTAGGGAATGGATCATTTAAATACAGCCCGAATGTCCTTTGCCACCAGTCTTATTGCCGTTGGATAAAAACTGGTGTGAAAGCCTTTGTTGAGGGGAATGTACAGGTTGATGAATATCTGAGAGAACTGACTGTTCTTTGCTCCTACAATGTTGATTGGACAGGGTGTCTGTAGAGGGGAGGCCATTGCCTACTGTATAATCCTTCTTGTAGTCTTTATCTCTGTATGCTGCTTGTAGTTTTATAGAAATATCTTCTGATGCAGTGTGAGTGACAGCCAGGGGAAAGCCAATCACGATTATCTTAATGTCAAAGAAAACAGATCTTATTTACTGCTCCACTCAACTATGGGAAGGAATTTTAAACAAACTGGAGGAAAATCTTATTGCTGCTGTCTCTGGTTTCCATGTTCTCTATGACATGTCTTTAACAAGTTACCAGGACATCAGAAGAAGATAGTGTGGAAACACATCATGTATATACGTAGTAGTATATAGTACAGTGGATAAGCAATACCCCTAGAACTACAGATTCACTTAACTCCAATAGGTGTGAATGATCTGTTAGAGTAGGAGAGGGTTCCTGCTCCTTCGCACTGAAAGGAGCCACTCAGGATACCTTCCACTGGGGGGTTTCTGGACACTTCCAGCAGCTAAGAGGCCTCTGGGTAGATACTGAGCATGCTGCAGAGACTACATACTTCATATCACTTGAGAACTCCTCAGGATGCCCCCCAGGCGGAAAACATGATGACTGGAATACCATGCATGGCCTGCTGCCACTGTGACCTGACTCCAGATAAATAGCAGAAAATGGATGCTTGAATAAGTTTTACTTGGCCCTCCATGCTTTTCCCAAATGTTCTGTTACACTGGAACAGATTTGTGATTCAGAAATGTTAACATGCAGTCCTGGCCCTCTGTGTTTAGGTTTGGAGTGCTGGTATTCTCATTTATGACTTTTGTCTAATCTAAACATCTGTCTTGTGAAAATTATTTTAAATGTCTGTTTGTACAGTGCTGTAAGTTAAGCGACCAAAATACAAATTTGCTTAATGCTTTTAATTCATCTTCACTCCCTCACTCTCACTTTTTTATTGTAGTATTTTCTTTATGAAAAATGCATACTCATAGAAATGCAATGTAAAACAGAGATCTTGAGATCTAGCCACACTGAACACCATAAATACATACATAAATAAATGCATGACCCAAGTGCTTTTGGCTCATTAATTGTTTGATGAAGGCTGCTGCTCTTGGCATTTATCGATGTTGGAAGAATGCTTTAGAGCAAAATTTCACCTGATTATCTTGGTCTGTTTTCTTGTATTTATCGAAGAGTTTAGAAAAGTGAGAAAATCTTTAAACCACTAGTGATTCAGTCTTTACTTTCTGGAAGGGACGTTTGTTTCAGAGCAGTAGTTGATTAACTCTACTCGTTTGTGTCTACATGACTTTTTGAACAGGAGGTGTGGTCTTAACAAGTTATGTCTACTTGTAGGTGCATTGCAAACTGGAATAAATATCAAATAGTTCAAGCACTGACTAATACACTCTCAACCTCTTATATAAAATCCACCATTAGCACTAGTGTGAATCATTTACCATGGTGGATATTTGTGCTTCTTTCCTGCATGGCCCTGCTCTATGCCAGCAGAACATCAGCAGGCCATTTGTCACACCATAGAGGTGCTCGTTAAACCCTTTTCTTTCATTTATGTAACATACATGCCCTTTAGCAGTTTGCTCCCCTTGCAGTGCCCTGTAACACTCTGGTAGTAGGATACCAAGAACAAAAGTGTAATGTGAGAGAGCTGGCTGTACAGTAAAGAAAGTGTTGGCTGGTAAGTGCAGGCCGCCTTGAGCCAACAACACCACCATTAACAGTCTGGAGGTAATGAGAGTTGTTCGCTCCTTTTGAAGGAAGGCAATTGAACTTTCGGTTCATGTGCTCAGTGTGAAAAATGTTAAAACCACCAACACCAAAAAAAAAAAGACCCATTGCTACTTTTCCCTGTTAAACCTTGACATTAAACCATAAGAATGTCCCACTTCTTGTGTCATATGCAGCTCAGTCTTCCCACCTGTACAGTATTCACTTTGTGGAGCTGTTTAAGTGTACACAATTTGTATAATTACACTATTTCCTTTAGCAAACAAAGGCAGCCTCTGTTTGATACTGTTGTTGTTGATCAAAATAAATGCAGACATTGCAGGTGATAATGAGCTAAAAATGAGATTTTTGGATCCAGAGCTCAGTTATTTGGCTTCATAACACTGGGATAATGGGTAGCTTGGCCCCTTGCTTTTTGTTTTGGAAAAAGCTTAAACCTGCACACACAAATAGAGAAACACACTGCAGTGGTATTGTGACTGACTGAGTGTTAGCAGATGGTGACAGAATTACAGTAGAATTTTTTTAGGTGATCTATCTTTAGGGCAAGTTGAAAATCAACATGGTCCAGGCAAAGAGTTTAACTCTGTACAAATGGATCTGACATGTGTTTTGAACTTGTTTTTCTTCACTGTCTGTCTGTTTTCATCTCTCCCCAGGTGGCCGTTGTTCAGTTCAGTGATGATGCTCGGACCGAATTCCAGCTGAGTTCCTATGGCGACAAGGAAGCGCTGCTGGATGCTATTCAGAGGATCAGATACAAGGGAGGAAACACCAAGACAGGTCAGGAGAGTGTATTAATTGGATTAACGGAGAAATAGTTGATGCAGTACAATCAGAGAAGTAAATACCTCAGTCTGAATTGACCGTAACCTGACAAAACAGTCTCATCACAAGGTTCTGGAGGGCGCAAACATATTCACATTCTTTTTCAGCAGATGGATTGTATGTTTTTTGTGGAAATGTAGATGTCAAAACGCCCATTTTTTGGAGCACTTTAAATACCTGTCATCCATGTTGGCTTGAAATAGAAACTGCATTCTTTTTGGAAGTTGCAGATGACAAGGTCCATTTGTAGCTGATTTGGAGCTTTCAGTCATTTGTGCAAAATCTGAACATCTACATTTCGACGACTGGGAAAGCTCCCATTGGTTGAGGATGATCATGTGATACAGCCTGAACTCCAGAGCCGCTACTGTTGTGAGAATGTTTTGTGGATGAATTTTCAGCCTGGGTTTACCAGAAGCAATCTCGTTAACCAAACTTTAAGAGAGCATGTAAAATTTGAAATATGTCTATGAAAATGCTACATTTAATTTGCTTTAGGACAATTGTTGAAGCTAACACGCATTGCAGAGAGGAAAGAATCAAATTCAGGGTGCATAGCAAGCTATGTGGGTTGTGTATTTCTTATAAGATTCATGTGGAACAATCCAGCTATGCTAGTAAACATGGTGACTCTACAGGCAATGCTGGTTGTTCAGGGAATGTTCACTCTCTTGAAGCTCAGTGTCTTAGAGTAATTGTGTGCCTGAGCTTTTCCATCACTTTTGTACTTTTTCTTTCTTTATTCCAGTACTCTCTTCTTCTAAACTTGGGCTCTTCCTTCTGTCCATTTCTCCATATTTCTTACTCAGCTGCATCTACTGTACTGTAGTTACAGTTTAACAGGTGGAAACAGGTGGTGTTTTAGCTGACAGAGCAGCATGTGTGTGCGTGAATAGAAATCAATCATAAAATTTTATGTTCCCGGCACAATAAGAAAGAGGAGGCTGTTCCACTCACAAGGTTCGGCTAATGCTCACAGTCTCACGATCTCTCTCTCCTCCCGTCTCCTATCTCTTTATTTCTAACGCACACATGCAGAAATTCATCTTCTTCACTAGTTCAGACACAATGCTTGTTTTTCAGGCTGTCTTTATTCCACTGAAACCCACACAGCACATATTTTTAGATTACACACTTTTAACTATGCAGGGAAACACTGAGCGCTAGACTTCTGGAAACTGTGCCCAGACCTCCACACTTACATCTCACTCCACTGATCCTTTGAGAGGTACACTACGAGCTTCTCTGGCCTATCAGGACCCCTCACTGTGTTTAAATCCCCCCCAAATATGTAAAGCTGAGTTATTTTTAATCCTTAATTCATAACTGGCTCGGTAATATATTTATACATCTGATGAGTCAGGATATGATTTACCTTCTGTGATTTTACTTTAGCAGCCAGGCTGACTTCCTGTGAGACCCTCACCCAGTGGCTCATCAAGGGGTATCCTTAACTATAAAAGGCTACTAAACTTATTAAAAATCTGTTATATGTATTTAATAGTGTATTTGATTATCTGATTGTTTTATTTCAATTTATTCTTAGGAAATTGCACTGCCTTTTTAAAGAGTAGAGGCAGTGTTGTAGTACTCAAGTCCAGTTTGTGATTCAACTGCATTCGGCCTCAGAAGTTGGAAATGGAGACCCTGACTCTAATAGGCCATAATAATTTGGATATTGATATTAAAACTTGTTCCCCTTTCTCTATCTAATGGTCCCTTCTTCTCTTTCCC